AAGCACTCTGATTAGAATCTGGTCCTTAAAACCTCTTGGATATGTGAATTAACATCTGTAATGAGCATTGTAATTCTCCCTTTGTGTGGCAGCCAGGCTTGGCCTCTGTTTGAGGAGGGGGTCTCTGAACAATCAAAGCCAAAGTTGGTGAAATTTCTTTTCCTTTTTCTTTTTATTGTGCTTTGGGTGAAAATTTACAGAGCAAATACACTTTCTATACAGCAGTTCACATACACTTTGTCTCATGACACTGACCACAATTTACCACAATGCAACATCTCCCCTCCTACTTCCTCCTGATAGTTACCTCTTCCCTGTGTCCATCCCTCCATGCACTCCTGCCCCCTGAGCTGTCTCCCTGTGCATAGCAGCCATTCTTTCTATAAGTTGGTGAAATTTCTATCCCTCTTACCAAAGTGACAGATTCTGGAATGGCCCCACAGTTTAGGCTAATCACGACACAAGGACTGGTTTGTTAAGGAGTTTTAGAAAATAGCCCCCTCTTTACTTCCAAAAATCAGTCAGCGAAAAACCCTATGGATTACAACAGTATAATCCACAATCAATCATGGAAATGTCATAGGATTGAGCAGTCCTTTCTTTGTTCCATTGTCCATGGGGTGCCATGAGTTGGCTCCAACTCAACAACAGCCAACATAATTTCCAGGAGTAGCCCTCTTTCATTCCCTGCATGTTAGAGAAGAAATATGTACCACCAGGAGTTGACAGCAGCCAACTGAGGTCATAAAGGGAAGCCAGCATTAGAGGAAGCTGGCCCTGTGGGAGGCAGAGCAAAGACATAAAAACTGGTGCTTGATGGTATAATCTTGCAATTAAGTATAACCTACCAGTACAGTTAGTTGTGCAAGCCAATAAATCACTTCAATTGTTTAAGCCAAGGAGCCTTGGTGGTACAATGGTTAAGCACTTGGTTGCTAACAAAAAGGTCAACAGTAGGAAACCACCAGCCACTCTATGGGAAAAAGATATGGCAGTCTGCTTTCATAAAGATTATAACCTAGAAAACCCCAAGGGGCAGTTCTACTCAGACCTATACCAAAACCAAACCAAACTCACTGCCGTAGAGTCAGATTCAACTCATAGCGACTCCTCCTTGGGTTTCTGAGGTGGTATCAGTAAGTAGATTGCCAAATCTTCCTTCTGAGGAGTGGCTGGTGAGTTTGAACTGCCAGCCTTCTGGTTAGCAGTTAAATACCTTAGGTACTACACCACCAGAGCATAATAAAAAATTGATTCAATGGCATACAATAACAACACCATTGTTTAAGCCAAGGACCCCTGGCTGCACAACAGATAAGCACTCCTAACCTGAAGGTCAATGGTTCAAACCCATCCAGCAGCTCTGCAGAAGAAAAAGACTTGGCAATCTGTCCTGTAAAGATTATAGCCCAAGAAATGCTATGGGGCAGTTGTACTCTGTCATGTCACATCGCTATGAGTTGTATTCAACTTGACAGCATAATTGTTTAAGCCAGTTTGAGTTTAAGTATTATTTTATTTCCAATTGAATACATCCTAATAGCCACTCCTCGGAAGGAAGGTTGGGCAATCCTACTTCCGTAGTGATACTGCCTCGGAAACCCAAGGAGAAACTTGGTTTCTGGCCAATGAACCTTTCCCATCTGTCAGTGGAAGCCTATATGTTGCTTTGATACTGAACAGGTTTCAGTAGAGTTTCCAGACTAAAATGGATTAACAAGAAAGATCTGGTGATCTACTTTTGAAAATCATCCAGTGAAAACCCTCTGAATCACAATGGTACAATCTGCAACTCATCATGGGGATGGCACAAGTAATATTTAGCTCAGTTGTGCATGGAGTTGTCATAAGTCAGGGGCCAACTCAAGGGTAGCAAACAACAACAACTATATCCAGAAATACAGTGTTTAATTATGCATTTTTCAAAGAAATATAGTCTTTAGAATCTTGTATCATAAAATCTTTATCTTGATTATTGCTGTGGATAAAATAATGAATCAAGATTTCTATAAAACCCCTATGTCCCTAGTCCTGTTCAAAGAAATGCCAGCCAAATCCTATTTTTGGCATAATGAATTTCACCTGATAGTACCCAACTGCATGCATTAGGTTTAATGGCCAAGAGAATAGCCCATAATGGAAACATGTTTAAAAATCTAATAGGCACCAGAGGTTCATTTGCTAAATAGTATTATGACTTTATACATTTTAACAAGGTTCAAGAATAGAGAATTTTCAAATATTAGACAACTCTTCATTTTTTTTACATAAAAATATATTAATATATCTTTTCTATATTTAAGTATACTTTCCTATTTTATAAGGACTTGATCACTTAAATAGTAAACATTCATTAAGTACTTAATTTGTGCAAGACATTAAGTGACCACTGCCACTGAGACAATTCCAATTTATAGTGACCCTTTAGGACAGAAGTAGAACTTCCCCATAGGGTTTCCATAACTGTAAATCATTACAGAAGCAGACTGCCTTATTTTTCTCCCATGGAATGGCTAACTCCTAGTGAGTTTGAACTGCCAACCTTTTGGATAGCAGCCAAATGCTTTAACCATTTAAGCACCACAAGAGCTCCAAGTTAAGTGACAGAGATATACAAATCAGAAAAGTGCAGTTCCTGCTTTTGAGATCACAGACATATATACAATCAAATAAGTAATGTAATTACCGCTATAATAGGTAAATATTAAGTGTCAAGGAAGCACAGAGAAGGAAGCCTTTAATTCTGTTTAAGAGTTGGTAGAAATGTGAAAAATAATTTCAAAAGATGGTGACAGGTGAATGGGTCATAAAGGACATACAGGAATTTATCGAGCAGGAAAAGATATGGTGTGGTGTAGTAAATCACCTGATATGGCTTTTCTAGCCATAAGTCTTTGTAAACTCCCTGGTGGAATTTGCCGTGAGCGCCTGAGGAGTGCCTGATTGTTAAAGTTATCCACCTGGCGTATTTCTGTTGTGGGTGGCACAAAGCAATGTTCTGGGAAGTTGGTGCTCTCTCTCAGGTGTTTAGAATTCTGATGTTATAATTGGTTAGTTTGGCCACTCTGCAAGGCTCAAAAGGAGCCCTCCTAGAGGCAGGAGTCTTTCTGACTGCTGGCTGAGAATGATGTGTTGCTGAAAGAAACACACTCCTGAGAGACACAGGCTGCTGAGAAAGAGACACAAGAGACACACATTGCTGAGAGAAACACCAAGAGATGTGCACTCCTGGGAGAGAGACTGTGAAAGATTGTTGGCTGAGAGACAGTGGGCTGAGAGAGACTGAGTCTTGTTCCTGAACTTGAGTTGTAGCTTGGTGCTTCCCTAATAAATGCCATAATCTGGGAGTTCTGTGTGGCCACTGAAGCGAATTATTGAACCTTGAGCAGAAAGTTGGTGGGTGCTGCAGGAGAAACAGTTGGTATCAGGGTTAATGAAAGGGCTGAGGGAGGCAGCATGTTTGGCCTCACAGGAATAGGCCTTGGGCTATTGATGGTGACTCTGTCTTCCTCTTGTGGGGTTAGAGGAGGTCAGGAGATGTGGCCTCCCTGCCCCTTTGGCATATGAGTAAGAAAATATCTTACAGGTGTGACTGTGTATGGGATATTTAGAAGACTGGGGTTTGGTAAATGGAAAGGGTAGTGGGAAAAGATGAGGCTGAAAGGGTTAGATGGCCTCATATACCAAGATAAGTAATTTACTTCACTTTCAAGAATGATGGGAAAATATGTATATTTTCTAAAAGGAAATAATATGTAGTTGCAGCACATAGGATGAATGTGGGAGTTTGCAGTCGTAGCCTGGAGATCAGGCAGATGATTCATCGAGGGTTTCTGTGTTTTTTAATGTTTTGCAATGAGGCACTGAAAGTGTTTGTTCCAAATAATCTTTTTAATGATGTTTGGAGAAAACTGCCTTGGAAGTCTCCCTCCAGAACAAAGTGCAGGCCTGATTACTGTCCTGAGTAACACATTCAGGCTCCCTATGCTTACAGCCCCTCCCCTGTAACAGTACACTGCTCTGGCCCTCTTTGCATTGTTCTGTGAGAATAGGGACTCAGGCACTAACAGTGCTGATGCTCTGGCTGCTGCTACTGCTCTGAATAATATACTGTCTCTCTTTAATTGCAGAATAATTGCAATACTTCAGACCCAAAAGAATGAGAACCAACATTTACACAGAGCCTATACATAATTAATACTTAATACTTATATTTGCAAGAATTATTAATATGCAATATAACTATAGCAAGTTTTGCTTGAAATAACGTCAAGAATACCTAGACATTGTCAAATGTAGATGGCATAAAGACTAAATAAGGACACTAGAGGAAATATCAGGAAGGACAGAATTGTGAGGAAGAAAGGGAGATCTTGCAGAACTAACTTCAGAACCTAAAAGGAAATATTTAATACACATGCATATAGAGGTCTTAATACTTTCACGAACAAATTATTTTCTGCTTTGAATTTTTGATTGATGCCATGTGTTTTCAGTACTTGAAAGGATGTTGAAATGAAAGAAAGAAACACATTTTTTATAAGTAATATGGATTTTTATATAATTATGTGGGACAGATACGTCCCAAGCAGACTCTGGTGGTAGGACTGATGAGGTAAGGCCCCTTTTTTCACATTCATAGAGCTATATGGTTCTCTGCCAAGCATCAGCATGGACTACAACTGGGATAGCAGCTTCCCCCAAAACCTGAGAAGTTAAAATATTGGTGGGAGCTAGATGTCCCATAAATCACGAAAGAGTTAAGCAGCAAAAACTGACCTTAGATAACTCTTCACTTTTAATCACAGGAAAATCTACTGTCTGGCTACATCTCACTGCCAGATAGATTTAAATATTTAACATCACTGGATTCAGTCCAGCCAAAGTAAAACCCCAAAAGCCTCAAATAGAGAGTCTATTATAAAATTGCTGTGACTATTATATGATCATTTTTAGTACATATAACTTAGTTTTCTTAAAGACTTGATCATATGTCTCACCAAGCAATTCATACAGAGAATTTAGAATTGATTTCCAAGATTCTCCTGCTTCCCTCCCAGCAACATCAGCAAAGTGAGCCGCGCTACTGTAGATGTGCAGCCGGTCTATGCACTCAAGTACGAGGTTGATCATTCCCTGCAAGATAAAAGAAAACTCACAATCAGAAACTGTAATTATGCTCACAAAACAAAAAATGCTGATTTTAAAAAAAAAAAAAAGTCTGGACTTAAGTTAGTCTGTTAATCATAAAGAAAATTCATAGTTTATTCAAAGGGCAAGAAGAAACACATTTGCTTGTCAAGTAAAATGTTCTTTTGCATGGATTTTAAACCCTCAATGTCATTGTCAATTAAATAGGACCAGAAGGACAATATAAAAATGCATACTTCATACTTTTCTTTGCAAAGTTTAGTAGTATATGAAATCAATCAGCCATAATGGTATTCTTTCCTAAACATGAGAGCAGATCCTTACTCTCAGGATAGGTAGCATTAGCAATAGTAAATTGAAGACATTGTAAATTAAATAAAGAAAACACGTCTTTAATAAATTTTAAAATGCATTCATTACATAACTCTTAAAGATAAGGTTGAAATTTGAACTTACGCTTTTACTAATGCTAGACTAAGGTTATCAAGTGAGACAAAGCACATGAAAAGAAGAGCTATAAAGAGTTGACTAATCAAATTAACTTATTTCACACAGAGAATTTAAAAAGGACCAAAAACTTAACAACATTTCTAGGTTCACATCCAGATAATTTTTCATGAGAAAAAGAAAATACTAAACCAAATCAGTATTGTAACTCTTCCAAGCCAAATGTTTGGTTTTACTTTTTCCAAATACTAAACAAATGCTTTAAATAGTCTAAGAAATCAATATACATGAAAAGAAAACTCCCAATAAACTACTCGGCATTGTTATTGTAGGCTTAGGCTGAGATTTCCCTTGTTTCGTGCCAGTACAGTTTTCAAGTAGGTAATTTCTTTGTATTAAAAAACCAAACCAAACTCACTGCCATTGAGTCGAATCTGACTCACAGCAACCCCCCCCCCTTGGGTTTCTGAGGCAGTATCACTATAGAAACAGATTGCCCAATCTGCTTCTGAGGAGTGGCTGGTGGGTTTGAACCACCAGCCTTCTGGTTAGCAGTCAAATGTCTTAGGCATTACATCTTTGTATACACTATGAAAATATCCTCCACAATTAATGTTACAATCAAAAGTGTCTGACAGGAAATTGAAAAGCAACTATGAAGCTAGAGGAGTCCCTGAGTGGTACAAAGGGTTAATGTGCTTGGGTGCTAACCTAATGGTTGGAGGTTTGAGTCTACTCAGAGACATCTCAGAAGAAAGGCCTAGTGATCTACTTCTGAAAAGTTAGCCATGGAAAAACCTACTGAGCATAGTTCTACTCTGATGCACATGGGGTCCCTATAACTCAGAATCAATTCAAAGGCAAGTGATTTTTCTTGTAAAGGTAGAAGAACATAGATTTAGGGAATGTGGGAATTCAGCAATGTCCTCTAACCTTTTTTTTGTTAGCTATTTTAACAAAGATACTCTGACTCAAGAATATTCATTACTTAAAAAAAAGAAGCACTGAAAAGAATGGAATACTTGCTGAGTTAGCCTCAAGTGCCATTATCCTGACATCCTCCCATTGAAACTCTTGATATGGTCCTGGTTCTGACACTAGCATTAGGATATTAAATAAGTCACTTGGTACCACCTGGTACTGTGCTCATAAAATAGAGCACTTAAGCTCTATTTTGGCAGTGGACATTTGGTGACATAACATCATGCATAGAAACAATATTTGCATAAGAACAAAGGGGGTTGCTGTGTAAAAAGAGGAAGGCTGTGTCTCTGCCTTGAGGGTGGTCCATTCCTAGGCAGCTTCCATCCTCAACACTCTCTGGTGGATCCTAAATATCTTCCAAGTAGCCCCTAAGAACCTGAGGAACCCTCTGAAAACACTGATGCTCTCCGAAACCTTAACTTATTCAGCCCTTTTAAGATTCCATACTTATGTAGCCAACATGAAGCTGACTATAGTGTTTAGGAATGACCAGTGTGAGTGTTGAGCAGACAGAAACAATAAATGTCCCTTGCCAGGGAATGAAAAATTTCATCTTTTAAAATTAATAACAGTGATAGAGAAATAAAAATAATTGCAGGATTCATCCTAATTTCACTTATCTTGTCTTATACTGTAGATCAAAATACAAAGGTGTCACATCATGGGGATTTTCCCCATGATGAAGTTATATTCTCAGAAAAACAGAGAAGACATGGGTGTTAATAGGAACTTACCTCTTCCTGAAAGAGATTCTGTCGGTTCTTCAGAGCTCGTAGTCTGTTCTGCTTGTCCTCATGCTCTAAATGCTCATCTGGTGGGTGGAAGTAGCCAATCAGATCTTGCAGACTTAGACTTACAGACTCTATAGGTAAATCCACTGTGGATGCCTTCACTTTTTTGCTGAGAGCATCAAGTCCCCTAAAATAAATTACAAAGATTTCTTTACATCAGTGATTTTTTAGTTTAGAGATGACGGCACAACTTTATCCTCTCTGCCTGTACCACAGTGAAAGGAACATATAAACAGCAATAATGAATTTGTTCACAACAGAAATTCTGTATTATGTCATATACAAACTGAACAAAAATGAAACTCACTGTTGTTAAGTTTATTCTGACTCACAATTACCCAAATTGTTACAGATAGAACTATTCATAGTTTTCTTGGTTGTAATCTTTACAGGGACAGATTACCAGGCCTGTCTTCTGAAGTACCACTGTTGTTGTTACATGTCATAGTCGACTCTGAATCATAGCGACCCTATATACAACAGAATGAATACTGCCAGTTCTACGCCAGCCTCACAATGCTTGCTACACCTGAGTCCATCTTTGCAGGCACTGTGTCAATCCATTTCCTCAAGGGCCTTCCACTTTTTTGCTGACCCTCCACTTTACCAAGCATGGTATCCTTTTCCAGTGAATGGTCCCTTCTAACAACATGACCAAAGTAAGTGAGACAAAGCCTGGCCATTCTCGCTTCTATGGAGCATTCCAGCTGCACTTCCTCCAGGAAGACTTGTTATTTCCTCTGGCAGTCCATGGCACTTTCAGTATTCTTCCCCAACAACACAACTCAAATGCATGAACTTTTCTTTGGTATTCCTTATTCTTTGTCCAGCTCTCACATGCACATGAGGTGACTGAAAATGCCATGCCTTGAGTTAGGCACATGTTAGACTTCAAAGAGATATCTTTGTTCTTCAGCACTGTAAAGAGGTCTTGCACAGCAGATTTTTCCAGTGCAATATGTCGTCTGATTTCTTTATTGCTGTTTCCTTTGGTATTGATTGTGGATCCAAGTAAAATGAAATCTTTAACAGCTTAAATTCTCCATTTATTGTGATGCTGCTATTTGCCAAGTTGTGAGGATTTTTGTTTTATTTAAGTTGAGGTGGAATCCATACTATGGACTGTAGTCTTTAATCTTCATCAGTAAGTGCTTCAAGTCATCTTCACTTTCTGTGAGCAAAGTTGTGTTGTCTGCATATTGCAGGTTGCTAATGATTCTTCCTCCAATCCTGATGTCATGTTCTTCATCATGTAGTCCAGCTACTCAGATTATTTCCTCAACAAATAGGTTGAATAAATACAGTGAAAGGATACAATCCTGATGCACTCCCCTCTGATTTTAAATTGTGCACTATCCCCTTGTTCTGTTCGAATGGCCACCTGGTCTATGTTCAGGTTCCTCATGAGTGTTAATGAGAATTTCATCTTCTGTTATTTCCATTCTTCTCAATGTTATCCATAATTTGATGTGATCCACATAGTCAAACGCTTTTGCTTTGTCAATAAAACAAGTAAGTATCTTTCTGGTATTCTTTGCTTTCAGCCAAGATTCATCTGACATCAGCAATGATACCCTTATTCCACGTCCTCTTCTGAAACCAGCTTGCATTTCTGGAAGTTCCCTGTCAATATACTACAGCAATAGTTTTTGAATTATATTCAGCTAGAGTTTACTTGTATGTGGTATTAATGATATTGTTTGATAAATTCCACATTCTGTTGGATCACCTTTCTTTGGAACGGGTACAAATATGGATCTCTTCCGTCTGTTGGCCAGACAAGACAAATGGCACCTGTTGTTGAAATGCTTGTTGAAACATCTCAATGGGTATTACAGCAATTCCTGGAGCCTTGTTTTTCACCTATTCCTTCTGTGCAGCTTAGATTTCTTCCTTCAGTACCATTGGTTCTCGATTATATGCCATTTACTCAAATGTATGAACACTGATCAAATCTTTTTAATATAGTGACTCTATATATTCCTTTCATCTTTTTTTGATGTTTCCTGCATCATTCAATATTTTGCACATAGAATCTTTCAGAATAGCAACTCAAGGCTTGATTGATTTCTTCTGTTCTTTCAGCTTGAAAAATGCCAAGCATGTTCTTCACTTTTGGTTTCCTAACTCCAGGTTTTTGCCACTGGGTGGGTTGAAAACTTCATTATCCTTTAGGTTAATAGCACAGCACAAACCATTTCCACCACCTGTGGACTCTTATTTATGTAATCTACACAGGATGTTATATTACAAACATTAATATTAAGGATGAGTCATCATTTACTTTTTTACTTATTATTTAATTTTTTTGTGAGAAGGAATTGTTAAGTATGCTATCCTTGACATTCACTGCCATTCTGTTTAATTCTTGCTGGTTGAAAACTATGTTCTAATGGTGTTAATTTAAGAAAATTGCTTTTTAACTGGAAACAGCATACTGAAATGCTTTTCTATTAACTGAAAAAAATAAAAATATATACGTGCATATTTAAAATCTTGATTAAGGAACAGGACCATAAAGCATTTTCTAGCTTTTGAAGAATAAATATATCATAGGGATATAAATATGTTCATTTATTAAGATTAATGACATTCTGTTTTAAAACACATAATTATGAATGGAAAAAAAAAAACTTTAGAGGTCCAAAATGGAGTCATGCCAGTGAGCAGCACGCTTTATCACTCTGGCATCTAAGGTCTTGGAAAACTAGCCACAACAGTTTGAATTAGGAATTTTGGAGCTCTGAACAGCTCACTGAATCAGAGTGCATCAAACATGGAAGAACAGAATTAGAGGAAAGGCACAGGGAGATTATTTAGGAAAGAGCTACCAGAGGGGGATGGACAGGCACCCGAGAGAGGCACTGGAAACTCTTCTGGAATAGTCACTGTGTGCGCGGCTAGGGCACCTGCCTGAGATCCCCGAGCCAAGAGGGAGGATGCCTTATAACAGCATACCAGCGACCATTCTAATATTCCAGTGGGCAGCAGTAGAGACCTGCCTCCAGCAGCTGATCTTGATTTTTTGGAGGTAATTTGGGTCTTCTAGATGCTGGCGGTGGGCACAGACACCTCCACTGAGATTCAGAGGAGAACTTACTGTTGCAACAGGAACGGTAGCTACCTCCCCTCCTAGAGGGTCACAGAGTGGACTGGGGTCAGACTGGGAGACATCGTGCTTTTCTTTGTCACAGAGATCAGGACTGCAGGTCACTAGCAGGTACTCCCCCGACCCTAACACAGCTGAAACTGCACGCATCTTTGGTGCTGCAGCTGGGCGGTATCACAGACAAACTCCAGATTGGGCCATTGGTGGTCTGGCAGGATTACATCAGCACCATGGGCAGATGGAACAGGAAGAGGGAAGAAACCGCACTCCCAGGATTTTTGCCTTGGAGCTGTTCTTTGGCGCTGTGGGGCCGCGGAGGTGGGATCTTTGAGTGTGCCTGAAATTGGTGGAAATTTGTGATGCTCTAACAATTAGAATCTTTCCTGGGGTTGAGCCATGGTCTTGCAAATAAATACATCATCAAAAATAGCCTATTCAAAGCCCTAGAAACTGATCCTAGCAACACCAAGCTTTCCTTCTTTCGCTCCCACCTTTTCTGCCAATATCTTCACTCACTCAATAGAAGAAAACATATTCAGCCAATTACCATAAAACCTCTCACTTCAAACTCTAAACCCTCATTACAAGACACAGAAACACATATCCACACTATACACAGTGATTCTACCATCATAAAGAAAACAGCAGAGTGAACCAACACACTTAAATCAATAAAAAATACAACACACCAGCTTCACCTTTTCAAAAAATTAAACAATAAAACCAAGACAAAACAAATCAACATGTAACTAGCAGCTAGTGACAACCTAAAGAAACAGTGCTCTACCAGATTCCAGAGACTTAAGAAGAAGTTCTGCTTTCCAGTAACCCCAACACGTCTCCGGACGTGCACTACATGACTGAAAAGGTCCTAGTCTACACCTTTTGTTTTTCTTTCTCTCGTGGTTAACACCGCCCCTTGTTGGTTTTTCTTTTGTTTTGTTTTGTTTTTGCTTTTATTTTCTTTTGTATTGTTGGTTTGTTTCTTTGTTTGTTTTCTTTATTCATTATTCTCTTTACCTTTTTCCTCTCAGTGACCTATCCCCAGATATTGCAGATTTATCTGTTTTCTTCTTCTTTCTCCCCTTTTCCTTTATTTGGGTTACTACTCCTGTGTGATTTTGGGGTGTATTTTTTGTCCATGTGCTTATACTTTTTTTGATGGTTATTCAATTGTAATTTTTGCCTAACTGAATGGGAGACAGCAACAGTCCTCAAAAGATACAACTACACCCACACCTCCTGCAAGTTCACTTACTGAGCAAGAGCCAGCACCTCTTTCTCCACCAATGGGCCAATGATAAAAAACCACCAAGAAGAGCTTGAAACACCCTTGGCTGCTCTTCACAAACAATTAACAGAGATCTTAATACAATACCATGGTGCCTCGGAAACAAGAGACTATCACAGTCCACAAAAAGAAGCAAGATAAAGTGGTAGAAACAAGAGAACAGGATACAGACCCAGAACACATCCCTGAGGAAGAAGCAGCATTGGAATTCTCTGATAAGGAATTCAAAAGAATTATATTTAGGTATCTTCAAAGGATTGAGAGACAGACCAA